GTTTGGGCATGTTGTAAGGAGAGACAGGTCCTTGGAGAGGGACATCATGCTTGGTAGGGTGGAGGGACAGCGCAGGAGGGGAAGACCATCTGTGAGGTCGATTGATTTCAGTGACTGGGGTAATCGGGATGGGTGTGTTGGAGGCAATGTGATTGGCACAGGATAGAGCAGGGTTTAGGGCTGTTGTACATATGGTTGCTATGAGTCGCAAATGACTCAACGGCACATAACAACAACAGATAGATATATATAAAATGTTGTTGTTGTCATATTCCCCTACCATGATGTAAATGCCATGAAGATATGCACACTTTATTTTCTGCAGTAGTCATATCACTTGACACTAAAAAACAAAGTGGTAAATGATGGTGAATCTTTAAAAATAAAAATTTTTAAAATATGTAAAAGAGAGAACTGTTTAAACAGTATATATGATTAAATATTTTTGTCATGACATGAGTCCAGAATGAAGGCTGCATAGTGGAGTGGACTTGGAGTGAGGGATTGTATAACAATGAAAGAAATTTTTCTTTTAGTTTTCAAAGAGAAGAATGAATTGGAGGTTAGAGGTAGGCAGGGAGAAAAGTGCAACAGTGAATGAATGGAAATCCAAAATCTATAAATTTTCACTAAAATTAATAATAATAATTATATATGGTTAATTGTCAGTTCTGGATAATAGGAGCTTTGGTGACTGTTACTTATCTCTGTATTTTTCTGTATTTTTGAAACTTTTTCTGAAACTAAAACCTTTAAGAAAAATGTTCATTCTCTGAGAAAGTGTGAGGTTTTTTAATTCTTAACCCTGTTGTCATTAAGGAATTTGAACTACAACTTCTGTATTATTTTTCACTATTTCAGGTTTAGATAAATTCTGATCCATAGTGTTTTACTTTAGTAATTAAAAGGTCGAGAATCTCCATTTGTTTGAATCCATCTGCAACTTAACTTATAGAAGGGTGGATAAGATCTTCTTGTTAAATTTACAGCTTCAGAAACCAAATGCTCACTGTCAGAATTCTCTCAATGTCAGTGAGCTGGTAACTCACTAGCAGGAAAAACTTTTTATATATTATTTATTGTAAAAATTATATTTATATTCTCTAATATTTTAATTTTATTTATATTTGGCGTAAGTTCAAATATTGTATATCAAAAGTGATTTCTTTCATTGAAAATAATTTGAAATTATAAGTAAAAGTTGCACTTTAAATTAGTAGTTAAAATTAATTTTTATTTGCTTTTTATAGTTTGTCTTTTACAGTGTTTGATATGTCTGGTCAAGGAAGATACAGAAATCTCTGGGAACACTATTATAAGTAAGTATAGTTGTGAGTGTTGGTTAACTAGATGATTTCTACTTTGCTATTATTTAATAGTTCTGTACGGTCATATCTTTTTTGTATTATATTATTTGTAATATTCAAAAATGTTTTAATAAAAATTAGAAAAGTAAATTATT